GGTGGTGGTGGTGGGGAGTGTGTTGTGGGGGGTGCGGAGGGAGGAGAATAGACGGGGCGCGTGGAAGGCGGCGGTGCCGTATGTTGGGACGAGGGTGCTGTAGAATGACTCGAGGAGGGTGGCGGAGGACTAGGCGGCGGGGAGGGGAGAGCAGGTGCTGGTTTGGTCAACCTGGAGGACGGGGCGGTTATCTCGAAAAGAACCTCGAGATAGGACACATCAGACCATCGACATCTCCAGCAGGCTACCCAGTCCTCTTCGTTCCAAAAAAGGATGGGAAGCTCAGGATGTGTGTGGACTATCGACAGTTGAACAACGAGACGGTGAAGAACCGCTACCCGTTGCCACTGATTTCAAGGCTTCGAGACCAGCTGTCAGGGGCACAACACTTCACACGACTCGATCTTCCAACTGCCTACGCCCACATTCGCATCAAGGAGGGAGACGAATGGAAGACGGCTTTCCGAACACCAAACGGGCACTACGAGTACCTTGTCATGCCATTCGGATTGACCAACGCACCGGCGACATTTCAAGCCGCTATCGACCAGGCAATTCGACATTGCCTCGATAAATTCGCAGTCTGTTATTTGGATGACATTCTCATCTACTCCAAGACACTCGAAGAACACAAAGAACACGTGCGGCAGGTGCTGGATGCACTGCACGAGCACAAGTTGTCAGTCAACAAGGACAAGAGCGAGTTTCATGTCAAAAAGACAGTGTTTCTGGGTTACGAGATCTCCCCAGGATGGGTCAAGATCGAACCCGAGAAACTGGAAGCTGGCAGGACGTGGCCAACACCAACAAACGCCACCGAGGTCAGAGGATTCATCGGATTCGCCAATTTTGTCAGGATTTTCATCAAGAACTTTGGTGAAATCGCGAGGCCGCTACACGAGCTCACGAAGAAAGACACCACATTCCAATGGAAGCAGGAGCACGAGCAGGCTTTCCAACGGATCCGCGACGCAATTACCGCCGATCCAGTACTCATGCTGTCTGATCCAAGCAAACCTTTCGAAGTCGAAGCTGACGCTTCGGACTTCGCGATCGGAGGACAACTCGGCCAGAGGGACAAGGACGGCAAGCTACACCCAGTTGCGTTCTTCTCCAAGAAACTCGAAGGACCAAGACTCAACTATCCGATCCACGACAAGGAGCTTCTCGCAATCATCGAAGCATTTCAGGAATGGAGACCATACCTCAGCGGCACGACACACGAAGTCCAGGTGTACACGGACCACAAGAACCTACGATACTTCACCACCACGAAGGTGTTGAACGGACGACAAACTCGATGGGCAGAATTCCTGTCCGAATTCAACTTCACGATCCACTACAAGAAAGGCTCGGAGAACGCACGAGTGGACGCCTTGAGTAGGAGAGCGGATCACCACGACGACACATCTGAAGCCTCACCACCATTGTTACATCAACAGATAGACGGATCGCTACGGCACGCTTCCCAGCCGACTGAAGACTACGAGATCGCAGCACTTCAGCAACAGTCGGAAGATCCCGAAGCCAGGCCTCTGCAACAGTTTGTAGAATGCTGTGCGGTCTTCAGGGAACAACGATTGGAACGAGACTTCCAAGGAATCATCGCGGACGACAAGCGCGATGCATGGCAAGAAGAGCCAGAATCCAAGATCGCAGGATTGCGACTTGAAGGAACGAGACTCTGGTACCACGACAAGGCCTACGTTAGGCCCAGCGACCAAAAAGGAGCTCATTCGAAAGATCCACGAGTCGAGACTCGGAGGACACATGGGAATCAGCAAAACAGTTGCAAAAATCAAACAGAACTACGACTTCCCAGGAATCAAGCAAACGACGGTAGAAGTCCTAGCAGAATGTGACCTCTGCGGACGAAGCAAACCGGGACGACACAAGCCATATGGGCTGTTGCAACCACTACCAGTTGCGGAACGACCATGGAGCTCGGTAACGATGGATTTCATCACCAAACTTCCGACATCGAAGGACTCAGCGACGGGAACGAAGTACGACAGCATCCTCACAGTGGTGGACAGACTCACCAAGTGGAGCTACTTCCTCCCCTACAAGGAGTCGTGGTCAGCAGAACAACTCGCAGACGTGATCTATCGCAACGTCACCGCGGTCCATGGATGGCCGGAGGAATGGATCACGGACAGAGACACAAAGTTCGCATCAAAGTTTTGGCAAGCTCTGATGACGAAGCTGGGTACGAGGAGTAAGCTTTCGACAGCTTACCACCCGCAGACGGACGGACAGACGGAGCGACTCAACCAGATCGTTGAACAATACCTACGGTTGTATGTCAACTTCCAACAGGATGATTGGGTCGAGCTGTTGCCAACAGCGCAACTCGCCTACAATACCACCGTCACGGAGACCACGAAGGTCACGCCATTCTTCGCGAATTACGGCTACGAAGCAGATTTGCGACAAGGGCCCGACGTTTCGGTGCCCAGAGCGGCAGTCAAAGCCGACAGAATGAGCTCGCTGCATGCGATGCTCAAGGAAGAACTCGAGTTCGTAAGAACACGGATGAAGAAGTTCTACGACAGAAACAGGCTCGAGGGACCTCGCCCAGAAGAGGGGGGCAAAGTTTACCTCATTTCTCGAAATCTTCGCACAAAGCGACCAAGCAGGAAGCTCGATTTTCGCAAAATCGGACCGTTCAAGATCGACAAAAAGATTTCGGAGAACAATTACGCCCTCGCGTTACCCTCAGCGAAGGAACTACGGGACACTGTTTTCCACCTTTCACTTCCCGAGCCAGCTCACAAGAATGCGCGGCTTGACAAGGGCGTCGAGGCAGAAGACGAGGAAGAACTCTGGGACGTCGAAGAAATCTTGGATTCACGCATCACGAACGGACAAGTCGAGTGCTCGGTCAAATGGCTGGGATTCGGCCCCGAAGGCAATTCATGGCAACCCGCTACAAACTTCAACTGCCCCCGAGGAGTTGGAGGGTTTCCACCGGAGGAACCCGGATCGACCCAAAAGGGGACCCCACGGACGGACCGACCCCGAGGAAAGGGTCGCTCGAGGAAAACTAGGACAAACAGCACAAGAACTGAGGGAGGTACGTAGTAGGATCGCACTCCTAAACTCTCAGTAACGGTTCGAACCGAGTAAGGGTTAATACCGGATCGGTCGGTGAGCGTAGCGCAGTCAGCAGCACGCTCTGCGTCCAACCACCTTTCTCGTGACGAAGGAACGGATCGTTGAGTCCGCAATACCGTTCCAATCGCAGGCACAACGGTTGGCGGCAACGCAAGAGGCACAGCGATTGGAGTTCTCCGCCACAACGCACGATGAGTCGTGCTCACGACAAAAGGAGCAACGCGTGCATGACGACGCCCAGGAAACGGATGCGAGCAGCAAGTTCAGCACGGCGTTCGGTGCTGGATTTCGGTTTCTGCGGTTTACGCACCCGGTTAGGAGACATGACGGGCAGCGAAGGGTTTGGACCAAGAAGGAGCGGTGCCTACCAAGATTACCAAGGGGTGTTGGCGCTACTTAAGAAGAGGAAGGGAATGTGACGAATTTACTTCAGGACCCTGTCCTGTTAGGGTTCAGCTTCGGTTGAAGGTAATTTTGCAAGGGTGCTTAGGTTCGGTGCAGCCAAAAGGTGCACAACAAAGACTTGTCTCAACAGTAGGCTCTCCAGCTGGTAGCGAACTGTAGTTGTGATTGCTAGCTGGAGAACTCCCAGAGCTCTCCAGAACGAGTGACTATATACCTATCTAAGTCCTATGTGCTCAGTGTGCTCAGTCTCCTCCGGAGTTCGGCGTCACTGATCACACTGATCACTTTTAGTCCTTCCTGTGTTCTGATTGGCTGCATGGCTTCTATGCTCAGTGTGCTTGGTCTCCCTTTGTTCCCCGTTTCCCTGATCATACTGAGCACACCCCAGCCTTCCCTGATTGGTCCTCGGGGCGACTGGCTCGGGGTGTCCGCGCCCCGAGGCTCCACCTGTTGACATATTCGTGACAAGGAATCACTGCGGGTCACTTGCACCTTGTTTCTATTGGTTAGTACTGTCGTCTAACTGATTGGTCCAGGGCACTGCCAGCATGCCCCGCCGGTCGCCTGTATGCGGCCATAATCGTGACACGATGCCCCTCCTCCAGGTCTTTCGTCCCGGAAGACGGGTCGTTCCCTGTCACGGATGTGCCGACGGGCGGAACCACAGGCCAGTCGCTAAACAAACCAATCAGGGAACCCACATGAGTAGCTCAGTGAGCTCAGTTGGAGGGTACAACTGAGCACACTGAGCACACAGGACTTAGATAGGTATATAGTCACTCGTTCTGGAGAGCTCTGGGAGTTCTCCAGTTAGCAATCACAGCTACAGTTCGCTACAAGCTCGGAAGCCTACTGTTGAGACAAGTCTTTGTTGTGCACCTTTTGGCTGCACCGAACCTAAGCACCCTTGAGAGATTACCTTCAACCAAAGCTGAACCCTAGCAGGACAGGGTCCTGAAGTAGGTTCGTCACAGCATTCGATCTTGACTTGCTCATTTCCTGCTTCAGCAGATTGTGCCAACAGCTCAAAACGGACATTAAAATTTCCAACCTGTCCACCCCAAACTTCGAAGAGCTCGAGTCGAAAGTGAGAGAGTCGTATAACACCATGGTCTCGAGCTCGAGAGCCAACGTTTATGTTCCCCTCCCCGACATCAGTCGACCGACTGGAGGTTACCGAACGGTTGTGGAGGACATGAACTTTCAGGGGTTAAAGCCAGAACAAAGACGAATGATGGAGATGGCGGACGTGCCCAGGGAGTCGTACCGGGCCGTCAAGGTAGTGTCCCCGGGGGTTCCCGCAGCTACGCCCGTATACCTCAACCTGGTGCACAAGGAGTGCAGGGCGATTTTGTGTATGATCAATTGCGTGGACCGCGACACTCTGTCGCCGGACCGCGACCACTGGAGCGACCTCATGGCGGTGAGCTGCGCTCGCGCCCTCGTGGCGGTATGTCGGTTGAACATCATCAACCTCGTGACAACGGCGGTAGTCGACAAGCTCGCCACCGAGCGCGACCCCCAGCCGGACGAAGTCCTCACCCTCCGACCCGGCGATGCAAACTTCTTTTCCCTCCTAGGGACCCAAAACGGCAAAGCCGCAAAGGGATCGCCTGGATGCTCGGTACGTACCCATCCAGGTTTGGCCGAAAGGTCATCACGAGCATTTTGGTTACCTGCTTCAAACCCAACCTCTGCTGGGTGTTGGACGATGTGGAAAATGTGCCCCAGACGATGGAGGTGGCGCCAGCGATGCCGTCACCGCAGATATCTCCCTGGCCCAAGTCACGCAAAGCCGCGAGGCACGAGAGAAAGAGGTAGGGGCGCCAGCAAGAAACCGCCTAAGCCGCCAACTTTTCGACTCCGACCTGGACATGTCGATCAACTGTCTCCTTGCCTCTCTGATACAGGAGCAAGGCCTTGGTTTGGGTAGGGTTACCACACACGGGTGGTGACCGCCCTCTGGTCCTCACACAACCAGAAACCTATCCCCGCCTCATCCTACCTGAGGTGTCGATGCTTCGTGCCAGGAATACCAAACGACGGGCCCAGGACCCGATCCAGGTATCCGACGAATCACGACACTGGCCACTGCTGATCTGGATCGCTTGGATAGGGGCTACCGCGTTGGGTTACCAGTACACTTTTCCAGCATCGCCTCAAACAACTTCCGAGGTATCCATTGATGGAACCAAAGCAAAATATTTGGACTACCCTGTCTTTGGAAAGTGGAAGCCAATTCACGAACTCAAGCCGAGCGACGCCTACTCGTACTCTAGCCGTCTCGCCACTGTTCGGACGGAGTCCACCGAATCGACGCCGACCGATCCAGTGCTACAAATTCAAGACTGGTGGCAGCTGAAGAAATCTCAAACACCACTTCAGATAAAACACGCGCCGTTCGAAAGCCCACGACCCGAGACTGCAGCCCCATCATCCCGTATCAACTACTTCTGTCGAAATTCAGTCCACGAGAAATCCTTTCCCAAGTTCTCAGACGAGCGGACTTTCGACATTTACGGAAAGAACAAGAGGCGGTTCCCAAAACCATCCAAGGCCGAAAGCCTTCATGAACTGCCACCCTGTGTCAAATCGCCACTCTCGAGACAAGATCTAAGCCAAATTCCCTAGGTGAGACGAATCATTCAACCGCCAGCCCAATATCGGATCCTCAATATTTCGGCAACCCAAAGGTGGTCCAGAGGTCATCGTTCAAAACGAAAACCTCTACGAACCGCCAAAACTGCAACCCTCGTCAAGATTGTGTCAGAAAACCCCGGCCAGCCAAACAAGTTGTCATCTATTTGTCAAAACGACTCTTATTCTCAAAACCTGGACCGGCCGAACACCAGAGACAGCTGCGCAGATCCACGCATCATACAACCGGCCCATTGATAATATGACTGTTTGGGGCGAAGTTGTGGTGGTTCAAAATCCAAACCCAAGGACAATGGCAGAAACCTTAGATACTAACTAAGCTTTTGAGGATCTTTCCGCCGACCCGCTCGCTCGAAAACATGAAGATTTGTGCGCTCTCAATTCATGGTCGGGCGATGTCCCTTCCAGCATTAACGCTGAAAAACAAAGCGACGTCGGTTGATTTGCACCAAACCATCTCTGCCCTTCCCTCGGCAGCTAACTCACCGATTGCAGGTTTAAGCCAAGACGCGAATGTCTGCAGCCATGGAAATCCCGGCCCCGCTGACCCCTGCTGGGGCGAGGAGAGGGGAACCGTGTGCGATGTGGTGGTCCCGCCCTTCTATCGTTCCACCGCATCCACCACCCATCACCGTCCAACCGCGAGAATCCTCAACCATGTCAGCTTCAAACGGAAGCAGTGCCGCAAATGTGGCCATCATCGGCGCCGGCCTGACGGGTTTGCTTGCAGCGCATGGGCTAAGAAAGGTGGGTTCCTCTAAGCTAATGATACCCGGTCAATTTTGCGTTGTCTGACAATGGCACCAGAATGGCTTCGACGTTGCCGTGTTTGAGAGGGCCCACCACCTCGCTGACCGACCCCGCGACTGGACAATTCTCATCCATTGGGCCATGCCCCTCTTCAAGAAACTGCTCCCAGAGCACCTCATCGAGAAGCTGCCGGAAGCTCTGTGTAACCCGGACCTAAAATTTGACGAGGAATCTGAGAGCTTGCCGGTGTTCAGCGGTGAAACGGGCGAACTGCTCTTCAAGAACAAGGTCCCGGGGGCACGGCGAGTGTCTAGGCAAAGGCTTCGTGGTCTGCTGGCTCACGAACTGGACGAGGCGGGGATCATCCGGTGGGGCAAGCGGCTGGCTGGGTTTAGCCATGGGGAGGAATCGGAGGCTGGTCCGGTGCAGCTGCAATTCGAGGATGGCACGACATATGACGCAAACTATGTCCTCGGCGCCGACGGCTCATCGTCTAAGTTGCGCCAGCTACTGTTTGACAAGGACGAAGCTGCGCGTGTGCAGCTGTCGGGTTTCATGTTTGCCACAGCCATTGTGCAGTACGGCGATGCAGCCAAGGTCCAACGGTGTTGAAGACACATCCGGTCGCGGCGATCACCATGTCCAAAAGCTCGGTTGGGGGTTGCGGTGGTAAGTATCTCTCTTCAGAGCACCCCAAGCGCGGTGCACAGCTGACTTCTTCTCCCTAGTCATGTACGCGGAAGCCTCGGACGACCTCGGCCGGTGGACAACGATGTGGGTCAAGATCTGGCGGAAGAGCGTTACACCCGTTCCCGAGGGGGTGACTGCAGGTCAACAGGCACTGGACTACCTGAAAGCGACTACAAAGGACCAGGCCGAACCGTTCCAATTCTTCATCGACTGGACGCCGGACGGCAGCGAATGCTACATCGACGAGATGAAATATTGGGTGTCGCAGCCGTTTGACAATCGTGGAGGGCGCATCACTCTGGCCGGCGACGCAGCGCACCCGATGCTGATTTACCGCGGGCAGGGCTTCCAGCACGCAATCCTTGATGCGAGCCACTATCTCGATGCGCTCGTCCAAGTACGCGAGGGCGCGGAGGCCCTAGGGTCGGCAATTTCGGCTTACGATGCCGATATGATTGGGAGAGGCGCCAAGGCGGTGCAACAGTCGGTCCAGGAGGCCGAACTCTCGATGGACCCAAAAACTGTCAGCCAGATGCTGATGGCCAGACAAGGGCACGGTATGTCTGTTTAAACTTTACTCTCGAATCGAGCAATACATACCGTGCGACAATTCCGCACAATTGGTAGGTAGCACACAGCAACGGGATTTTTCGTACGCCTGTCAATCCCTTATTTTGACGTGTGGAGCGGTCGTGGTCAGTTCAGCGGGGAGTGGAGCGGGGATCGTCCTGATTCCACGTGGCGTCGCTCAACCCACTGGATGGGGACGGACTGAACCGAACTCCTGGAACCACCCTGTGGGACCCCTTCCGCTCGCTCGTTGCCCCAAAACACCATCACACAAACAAGCCCGCGCAACACATTCGTCACACTGATCTCGCTTCGTTGACCGTAACGATCCCTTCGCGACACTGTCCATAATGCCCGACAGGAACTATTCGCTACCGAACCCCGGCAAGGCAACACAGGCCGACAACGCCGCCACAGTCGCAGCCAACACAACCGTTGACAAATTCCCCGCAACCGTCCCACACGGTGATCCCGGTCCCGCTCTGAACCAATCCGCGACGCAAGGAAGCCCCACACGAAGTCCCGCCGCCAGCCCACATGTTGTCCCCCATGAGCAAAACGATGGTCAACAGCACCAGCAGCAGGAGGAGCAACATCCTAGCATTATTCCTGCTGCTGGGCCCGATGAAGTCCACGATGAAAACGAGTTCGCCCTGACCGATGGCTACGAGACCGCTTCTACTGGCTCAACCAGCGTCACATCTTCCGTCTACGCTCACACCTACGAGAATGGGCCGCCGTTACCAACATTTCAAGAATGGGCGATATCTCATTCCCAACGATGATGAGGAGCTCAATCGAGAGGACATGAAGCATGCCATGCTTATGGAGTTGTGTGACGGCGAACTTTTTCTACGCGCCGATGGCGATAAAGTGCAATCTATCCTCGACATTGGAACCAGGGACTGGTAAGTGAACGCAATCCAACCACTGATCTCGTCATAAACGGCAGGCCTTTTGACTAATAGTCATGCGATATAACAGGGGTATGGGCCATTGAAGTCGGCGATCGGTTCCCCAACGCGCGCGTCCGCGGCATTGACCTATCCCCGACGCAGCCAGCGTGGGTGCCGCCCAACGTCGACTTCCTCGTGGATGACTGCGAACAAGGCGAGTGGCTCGACTGCGATGCCGATTTCGTCCATCTCAGGTTCATGACCGTCGTGCTCAAAGATGTGGCGGGCGTGTTAAGCCGGGCCTATGAGTAAGCGAGGCATTCGTTGATGACAGTTATTGGACCGCTCATAACACTTCATGATCAGGAGCCTGAAACCCGGCGGCTGGATCGAGCTTCAAGAACTCTGCGCCGAAATTCTCTGCGACGACGGCAGTATGCCAGACAACGACCCAGTCAAGTACATGTACGAGCTCAGCCACCGTGCCTTCTCCAAATTCGGCATGGACGTGACACTACCGAAACGCCTGGAGCCCATGTTGCGCGACGCCGGTTTTGAGAACATCCAATGTGTCATCAAGAAAGTGCCCATTGGGCCCTGGCCGCGTGACAAGATCCTGCGCGTCATCGGCATGTACCAGAAAATGGCAGTCCAAGATATTCTGCCTATCCTCCCCGGCCGCCCTTTCACCGCCTTGGGCATGTCGCAGGTGGAGAGCCAGGTGACGGTCGCTCATGCAAGGCAGGGCTTAGCCGATACGAGCGTGCACCGATACTTTCATTACTATTTTTGGTTCGCCCAGAAGACTCCCTAATGGCTTACCTAGGCTGAAGTATGTGGAAAGGAGGGATTGGGAGAAGATGATGTTGAATGAAGGCGAGAGGTCGGGAGAGAATGCCGTCGAATGGATGAGAGAGATCAGGAGATGATGGTGTCGAGTCACTCCGACTCGAATGAATGTAACAGGTTGAGAGGAGATGAATGAAGTGGATTGGGAAACAAGGTTGTTGAATGAATGAGAGGAACTGGGAGAAGATGGTGTTGAATGAAGATGATGGATTAGGAGAAGATGGTGTCGAATGAGCGAGAGAAATTGGGAGACTATGGTGTCGAGCAAGGGACGCCTCGGATCTGAGTTTGTTTGAAAGGGGGAGTGAGAAAGGATGAAGTGGAATGAATGACAGATGGAAGCAAGCGGGTGTGTGAGTTACGTGTTCTAAGTTGACGTAGTACGTCGGATAGTTCGGACGGACATTAATAATACCCATTTTGAAGTATATACAGTTGGAGACGGGTGCCCTTCCGTGTCCCCGTTCTCATGTGCCTACTACTGATTACGTGTTTAGAAAGCAGCCCAGCTTCCACCCCGCCTTTGGCAGTTCATACGCTGCTGCTCCGGATGAGGGTTCCGCGAATCCTTTTCCGGCCAGTAACAAAGGAAGTCTCGAGAAACTCGGCTTGTTTGCAACATTCTTGCGCATTTTTATCTTTATAGCCGCCCCATGCTTTTAGAGAGTAGCTCCGAATTGGCAGCCCGAATTCTCCGTCACATCACAGAACCCCGCCACGACCGTAAGCCAAGTTCGTCCTGAGCACCATGGGCAACTCAGTGCCGCGAAATTCTTCTAACCGGGAGGAGCCGCAGAAATCACCATGGCTGAGCAAGTATGGGGGCGAGCCCAGAACAGTCTTCAACAAACCTCACGAATCAGTCCTTCATTCTGTGCTTGCCCCTCTCTTCCCCCGCCCACACCCAACCTCCTACGCCGAGGACAACACAACGTTTGACCGCATGCCTCCGTACCCCACGCCCACCGGCGACGAGCTCGACATGCTATTCGCGTCCGAAAAGTCCCAGATTGACCTCAACCCGGGGCTGACGACCTGGGAGATGGGTGTCCTCGGCGAGCGCCTAGTTAATGGCTGGGCGGGAGGCCATCGAGAGATGGATCTGGTCACGCCACAGATCTTGGAGCGCGGCTACGGCGTTGAGGTCGACGAGAGCAGCTGGCATCCGGTTTTTGCAAAAAGCAAGTGGTATGATTTCCGTTTGCCCATCGTCGATGGGACCCTCCTCCGCCATCCGCTCCCTGGGATCAGCGGGTCGGATGTGTGGAGCGTTGATGTCCCCAAGGTATGAAGTGAGTTACGCCCGTCTCTGGAAATTGCAAACCGCTGCCTTCGTTACATGGCTCATGGCCCTTGGTTGAATCACCTGGTTAACGAACAACGGGTCGAATGGATGGAGGCGGAACCGGCGGCGGCTGAGCTAGACGATCCCCGCCATCTTGGGCCAAACAAGAAGCCCTGGAGAATCCCGAACGAAAGCAAGGTTTACGACGGCGAGAAGACTTTGAAGGTTATTGCGGAGCTTCTGGCACCGAGGCTTGTCTGGACGTTTTTTGATGACGGCTTTCATCCATGCGACGCCGCGGATGGTGTTGTTACGAGGGCTGGAATTCCAGGGCTTGAACAATCAGCTGCCGGGGGAACCGGCAAAACCAAGTGTATTAATAAGAATAATCTTCAATGGCCTCGAGAAGTCCATGAAGAGAGAAAGAGAAGTTCTGGAGCTATCTGACATTCTGAGTCTTCTTATACATGAAGGGTTTCGGTGAGAAGATGAGAAGGTGAGGAAGGGCGTCTGACGAGGACGCCAATGAAATTAGTGAGGCTGGCCGATGAGTGGCCATTGATTTCTGAAAATGATTGGTGATGGTTGAGTCCACGTAATGATCCGTGTGACATGATGGTTGAGTCCATGATGGTTGAGTCCATGATGGTTGAGTCCATGATGGTTGAGTCCATGATGGTTGAGTCCACGTAATGATCCGTGTGACAGGTGTCGACTTTTATGGGCGCACGGTCAGGCACTGGAATGGCGGGAATGGGCCCACCAAAGATACGCCACCTGCAGACAGGCAACTGGCATTCCTTTCGGTGTACATCCACGTAAAACCTCTTCGGGTTTTGCTGAACCCGGAATCGACCTCGTCAGAAAGATGTCACGCTCGATGGTCAATGGCACTCCCGGTATGGCTGCCTCATTGTGACGAACCTACTTCAGGACCATGTCCTGTTAGGGTTCAGCTTCGGTCGAAGGTAGTCAGTCTCTCAAGGGTGCTTAGGTTCGGTGCAGCCAAAGGGTGCACAACAAAGACTTGTCTCAACAGTAGGCTTTCGAGCTTGTAGCGAACTGTAGTTGTGATTGCTAACTGGAGAACTCCCAGAGCTCTCCAGTACGAGTGACTATATACTATCTAGTATCACCACTCTGTTGGTGATAATCGCCCATTATCACTGACAACCAGTGATAATCGCCCATTATCACTGACAACTAGTGATAATCCAGTTCTTATTGGTCCTTAAGCGATTGGCTGCCGGCGTCCTGCGCTGTCGGCTGTGGCCGCCCTGGCCGCCTCGGGGTCATTCCGTGACACGATGTCCCTCCTTCATGTCTCTCGTCCCGAGAGATGTTGGTCCTTCATTCCCAACACTGGCTAGTAGTCCTTAAGCCGCAGCGCTCCCCTCTACCATTGGTAACCTCTTCTCTCCACCCCTTTTCCCCTTCGCTCCTGCTAACTGACACCATGCCTGTGGAAAAGCGTCAATCCAAATCTGCGCGCTATCGTGCTTCCCTGGCCGAAAATATTGAGAAGAACGGTTTTGTCGTCATGCCTTGTACCTGGTGCGCCACTCAGAACCTGACGTGTCGCATGCTTCCGAAGGTAAAGCGTTGCAGCGCGTGTGTCCAGCGCGGTCGTTCGTGCGATGGTTCGGGCGTCCCGATTTCCCAGTGTGAGTTGCTTTTCCCGGCTGTCGTTTGCTTTAGCCTGTTCTGAATCGTCTATAGTAGACCGTATTATGCAAGAACAGCGGCGGATCGAGCGCGAGGAACGCGACACCGAGGAGTCCCTTGAGGCGACTCAACGAAAACTGGAAGAGGAACAGCGTGCCCTCACTGAGCACCTGTCCCGTCTACGGCGCCTTCGTCAGCAGAAGAAATTCTTGGTGGATCGTGGTGCGGATATGGTTGCTCGTGGTCTGTCGACCTTGGATGATCTGGAGGAGGCTGAGAGGCAGGAGGCTCTTGCTGCGACAGGGGCGCCTTCGTCCGAGGGCGTCCCTAATTCTTTTGTCGATCCTTCTTCGGGGTTCGACTGGTCCTTGGGGAACCCACTTGCTGGGGTTGACCCTTCCGCGGGGTTTCCTTTGGTCGATCCGGATCTCTCCGGTGAAAATCCTTCAGTTCCTCAGGGCAATTGAAGTTTGTCGCTGGTTGCCATGAATTGTCTTCGGGGCCGTAACCCAGCCATTTGACCAAATACTCGACTCGTCCCTTCGTGATGCGTGAATCCAGGATTGCTTCAACGTCCCAGAGTTCCTCTTCGTCTTCCGCCTCGGCGCCCTTGTCGAGTCGTGCGTTCTTCGGCGCTGGTTCCAGAAGCGAGATGTGGAAAACGTTGGTCCGTAGTCGCATGGTTGAGGGTAACGCGAGTGCGTAGTTGTTCTCCGAAATCTTTCTGTCGATCTTGAATGGTCCGATTTTGCGAAAATCGAGCTTCCTGCTTGGTCGCTTCGTGCGAAGATTTCGAGAAATGAGATAAACTTTGCCCCCCTCTTCTAGGCGAGGTCCCTCGAGCCTGTTCCTGTCGTAGAACTTCTTCATTCTGGTTCTTACGAACTCGAGTTCTTTCTTGAGCATCGCATGTAGCGAGCTCATTCTGTCGGCCTTGACTGCCGCTCTGGGCACCGAAACGTCGGGCCCTTGTCACAAATTTGCTTCGTAGCCGTAATTCGCGACTCTATTTGAGTGCGAAGGCGGTGATACGCTTCGTGAAGTGGCACCTCTGGTGATGCCTTTCTGGGCATCGGCCAAGTAGCCGGGTCCACATGCGTTGTTGTCATTGTCGATGCTAAATGGTGAATGAAGGATGTAAAATGTGATTGGTGTTCCCTTATAGGGGATAGCAGGTAAAAATAGGTAATCAATGCCTTGAACTGTGACAGAAAATGCGTTGAAGAGTTTCTGGTGGGTGAAGGCCGAAGGAAAGAGGATGCTTGTGGATTGAGGAACGCAAACTGCGGCCGCTGCTTTGTACCCGACGTTTGAAAAATCTGGGAAAATTATGACTCACGATTTGTGTTTGCCGCCGCCCAGATGCCCGTTCTACAAGCTTCCATCCCACCACAGGATGCCTGGCTAGGCAGATGGCTTCTGGGACATGTTTTGGAACCTTAATCAAGGCTCCGCGAATTGATAACGGCCGTGCACCAATGAACAGATCTTGGCAGCTGGGTGGTCCACAGAGCCTCTCGATTGGCTCAGGTCCGGGAGTGGGGCTCCTGTAATCTGTCGACCACGCTCAGTGCACGCGGCGGGATGGTGGATGATGGCCATCCGGATAATACTTTTGTTTCCTCACTGGCTGCCGCCACGACACCATTGAGTTGGCTGCATACATTGAAAGGCACCCGATTCGAACCGCTTGAAACCTGCATCGATGGCGTAGTCGTTGCAAACTTTCCCGATTCGATTTGTCCCACCATAGCAACCTCCGAATCTACTACCCGCGCGTCGAGACTCCTCCGCACACAGCTTCCCCAATCATCGAGGATTGCCCTTTTTTTTTCCCAACCACGGGTTAACGACCCAATGGCACCACAGCAAGCTAAACCCTCGGCACCTGCTAGTCGGGAGTCAGCCGCCCCGACCGATGACCTCCCAGTCGGCCCTCCGTCGGGCCTTTCGGCGATACCTTCGCAGTACAACTCCGAACAGGGACTCCGGCAGAGCATGAAGCAGATAGCCTACGACGAGGCGCGAGAGGATGGATACCGGCTGAAGGGCATTCAACTGATTGACGGCGTTCGACAAGGCTTGCAATTGTATGTGCTATATCCATTCTTTTCCCGAACGATGGCGAGCTGGCATAACTGACACCTACATGCGACAGGCCGGTCAAGACGTTCGACACGGCGGCGATATACTACCACAAGTTCCGCGTACGGTTCCCGAGCAACGAATATAATTACGAAGATGTTGCTCTGGCGGCATTGTTTGTCGCCTGTAAGGCTGAAGACACCATAAAGAAGTCGAAGGAGATTCTCTGCGCGGCGCACAATCTCAGGCAACCCCACGACCACAAAACACCAGATGACAAGGTAGGCAAGGGGCAATCTCGGGCGCGGCGGAGGTTTGATCTTGATGCTGATTCTGTGCAAAGATATTCGAGGCCCCGTCTCGCTTCACTGTCGGGCTGGAGCGGCATATTTTGGAAACAATCGGGTTCGACTTTCGGGTCCAGTATCCTCAGAAGCTTCTCATAAAGATGGTCAGGAAGGCGTTTCCGCATGAGGATAGCGCCGCCCGGGAGGAAGGCAAGAAGTTTCTCCGTGTCGCTTACAACATGTCGATCGACCTTTACAAGACCTTTGCACCCATCAAACAAGCCACCTTCACACTGGTACTCGCCATCCTTGAACTGACGGCCCTTCTCCTGGACACCGACTCGGACAAGATGAGAGAGTTCGGGAGCCCCGCTGACTGGCACAGCCAAAGAGCATGCGTGCTCGAGACCATGTTAGATTTGCTGGATTTGTATACGCAATTCCCAAAATCCACCAAGGTTGGGCCTCAACTTGCCGTCCAAAAAGTGATGGATGTCAAGATCGACATCAACAATATCGTGGCCAAGGAGAAGCATCGCCGTTATCACGGGTGGTGCGATCGATGCGCACCGGACGTGGTAGACACTCGATCCGTCACACCCGGCTCAGCCACGTCACCGGCAACAAACCCTTCGCTTCCGGGGAGTGGGTCAACGAAGCGCAAGAGGGCCCCCAGCGAAGGGACGCAGCGGTTTGTCTTTGATGCCGACGAAGCGCGGAAGGAAAAGGATTTGGTCAATCGCCACTTCAACGACGAATATGAGGAACATGAGGTCGAGGTCGAAGAGACGATTCGCGACCCAGAACCACGGCATCCGGGCCGAAGCAACCATTCCTATCGCGGTCACGGTCACAACCAAGCAGATTACGGGTGGCCCAGCCATCATCGGAGTAGCAGGCATGGGCATCCGGGTGATAGACATAGAAGCCGACGTGGGCATGGCTATTGAGGGACGTGGGTGGGTGGGGATGCTAACCGGGAGCTTATGATCAATTTAGCATATTATGATACCCAACAACGATACCATCTAATCATCTGGCACACATCCGGGATCGGGATAGTTCACCCAGTGCTAAGATGCGGTCACCCTTCCTAGTAGTACCCGTCTATTTGCATCGTTCGTTATCTCGAGCCCTTTCTGTGTGGCTTGCCGTCGACGCCTAGATCATGAGGGCCTCGGTTAAACAGCCTGCCGTCAACTAAGGCAGCCCTCCTAAGTGACCGGTCCTCTTCCGGCCTTCGGCTGCTCACATAGTTATGAAGGTTTCTCGACCGGCCCTAGAGCTTCCCACTAAGTAGGGTGATTGCTCCCTGGATTCATGCCTATGCCGGTTGGGTAGTTGCTGCCAGAATATTTAAACGAATAACTCTCACTCATAAGTGTTACGGGGATGGAGTTATGCAAAAATGCAGGGTGATAAAGATGCTAACACCGGCATGCCCGCAAGGTCCGGGAGCAACTCAGCCAAGCCGGTGTTAAGATCTTATCTCCACAAATCAACCCAGCCCACCAGCCCATTGGTAACTCTGAAAGTGAGGAACCGGCTCTACTGTCCTCCTGTGTGTGTTTCCCTGGCGTCCTGTATAGGTAGTTGCGGGCTTAGCCGTTGACGAACCGGCCTGGCTGCGATATCTCCGGGTGCATGATTCCATCTCCGGTCTCCGTGAACCCGATTGCATCCCCGTTCTCCAGTGTAGCCATGAAGGGTTTGTTAGCCATCACCTCATCGGCCGTTGCTGGACATTGCGGACATGGCAGGGACGTTGCTTCGGGCGTTGCTTTGGGGCTTGTTTCGGGGCACGGAAAGAAGATACACATTCAAACAAGGACCTCAATAACGTCCTGGCCTAGCCACCAACAACGGACAGCTCATAAGACAAGTGAACCGCCACGGCTTCCAAATATCTCACTATCTCCAACATCTCGCCATCTCAAATACCACCACAAAGCGTAGCACCACCATCCATCACCCCCCTCCACAACTAACCCTCAAACGGAAACCCCCATCACCACCATGTCCAACCGCCCCCTCATCATCATCTTCGGCGCAACCGGCCAACAAGGCGGTTCCCTCGCCAACTTCGTCCTATCCAACCCAGCCCTCTCCGCACGGTACCGCGTACGCGGCGTGACGCGCGACCCGAACCAGCCCGCCGCGGCCGCCCTCCGCGCCCGCGGCGCCGAGGTCGTGCAGGCCGACTTCGATGACGCCGACTCCCTGCGCCAAGCCCTCAGTGGCGGTGACGGTGGTGTCGTTTTTATTACGACCACGACGGTTTATGATGAGTTGACCAAGGAGCGCGAGGTGCGCCAGGGGAAGGCTGCGGCGGATGCGGCTGTCGCGGCGAGGGTGGAGTACATTGTGTATAGCACCGAGGTGCATTGTGAGGTTGTCTCCGGGGGGAAGCATCAAGTGCCGTCGTTTGACTCCCGTGGGGAGGTCGAGGCGTATATCCGCTCGCTGCCGGTGCGCAGCGCGTTCTATGCGCCGGGGTCGTTTATGCCAAACTTGTTGGGGATGATGGCGCCGCGGCCGGTGGGGGACGGGGAGGGTTTTGTGATTGCGAACATCTTGCCGGGGGACCGGGTCTTGCCGTGGATTGATGTGGCGGCGGATACGGGGCCGGTTGTGGGCGCGGTGCTGGCGGAGCTGGAGCGGTTTGAGGGGAAGCGGTTGTGTGTGGCGAGTGAGCTGTTTTCGTTGGAGGAGGTCGCGGAGAAGATCTCCAAGGTAACGGGGAAGACGGTCAAGTATCTGAGAGTGTCGGAGGACGTGTTCAAGTCGTACCTGCCGGAGGGGGCGAGGGAGCCGGTGGTGAACATGTTCAGGTTCATTGCGGAGAGCGGGTATTATGGCCCGGGGACGGAGAAGTTGGTTGAGGAGACCACTGCTCTACTGCCGTGCCCGTTGACGGGTCTGGATGAGTACCTTGCCGCCAATATTAAGCTTGAATGAGGTAGTGGGACAAAGGTAGATAGATTGTATTTGCGCCGTAGTAATCTAGAGGTCATCCGGGATTCCTGCTGCTGTTGTGATGGAACAGACATGGCTCTTGCTTGTGATCTACTTCAGTTATTCTCAACGGACCAGTTCCCTGGTTTTGCCGGTCTTTGGCCGATAAGAAATGGGAAAGGAAGCCGAGCAGAAAGAATGGCGTACAGGACAGGCATCACCCAACTGTCATTGCGCCCTGGAACTTGGAAGCAGGCCACAACCCCGATAATAGAGACAATGCCACAATGGTCATGCAAAGGCAACGCAAAATGTAAAGTAAGAAAAATGTAACAAAAACAAACACTGGAAAAAGCAAACAGAGTAAAATCTATTGCATTCCATAAAACAACAAACCTTCACCTCTCAACGCCTCATTCGAACTTATCAACCCTGCTCAGCGGTCCAAGACTACTAACTGGGACGGCAGCCCCATCAAATCACCTCGGCGGCAGCCACCCTCACCACCTTTACAACCTCCACCTCCGAATCCTCATCAGCCGAAATCTCAGCCACCTCCTCCGCACCCAAAACATCCCCCCCACCAACCCCAACATCACCACCGCCAACCACACCCTCACCCCCCCCACCAAAAAGCATCACCTTCAACTCCCCCAACCGCTCCACCACAACATCCAACGGCACCCCCGACGCCTCCCGCGCCGCCGCCGCCGCCTCCCCGCCGTCCCTGATCTTGCGCACCCAGCAGGTCTGCATGCCGCTGGGCTGCGCAATCGTCAGGTCGTACAGCCCGCACGACACCATCAGCGTCTGCCACGGCTGCAGCGGCTCCGCGTCCGTGTTGACGGGGGTCGGGGTGCGCTCGCTGCTGTGGGCGGTGGTGGTGCTGGTCGTCGTCGTGGTGTTGCTAGTGGTGCTGGGGGTGGGGGTGGGGCGGGGTGCGGAGGTGGCGGTGTTGGCGCTGTTGGTGGGGTTGTGGTCGTGGTTGTGGCCGCGGGCGTGATTGTGGTTGTGGTTGCCGCTGTGGGTGTGGTTGGCGGCTGTCGGTTCGCCGTGGCAGAGGGCGGTGAAGGTGGGTGTTACCATCCGCTGCCAATGGTCCCGAAAGAAGGCGGCGGCCGCGAGGGGGTCGGCGGTGTGCGCTTGGATTTGGATGCGCGGGATAATCTGATGAGAATAACGAGTTAGACATGAGATGGCAGGGGTGTGGGTGGGTGGATGGGATGGAACTTTGGAAGGGGCTAACTAGTGACGTTGGCTCAGATTGTACTCACAACATCGATTAGGCCCATGAGGCCCATATCCGCCAGTGTGGTGGCGGCAGCCGGGGGGTTCTGGGAGATGACAGCAAGCTTGATGTCATCGCGGCGGTGCCTCATTGTTTCGAGGAACGCCTTGGCCCCAGGCGCCGCCCGAAGTAGCGGCCCACCAACTTCGTTTTGGATTCGCGCATAAGCCTCTCTGGTGCGCGTGGCTTCCTCAAGAGTGAGGTGGCGGCCGATGATGTTCCCCAGAATCTCGAAGGCGATCGGGGACTTGCTGTGGGCGCTGACGATTGCTTCATTCGTGAACTTGTGTAGGTCACCCCGGGGGAAAACCTCGGTTGCGAGGGCCCTCGAGACACAAGTGATGGACTCCTCGCAATCTAAGAGGGCGCTCAGGTGCAAGAGAATCATGCGGGGCGGGAACTCCTTGCGTTGATTGATGGCGGTCGGTTGGAGTGCCTCAGACTCAGATTCCGAAGACGAACGGGCCCTCTTGTGGCCATTGATTGGGGCAGGCGTCATGCTTGTAGCGGTCACCTCTGCCGATGATGTTAGCGGTCAATTATTTACATTTAAAAAAACAACCTCCAAATGCTCGGTGTCATAAAGAGGTAAGAAAGAGAGGGTGGGCAACAGTACCTGTGATCTCGTGAGAGCAATCGCTCGATACCAGCTCACTGCTGTGGTTGGCTTGGTCCATATCCATCACAATGATTGCGTGAGAAGTGAAATCTTTAATGTGGGAAGTACAGCTTTGAAGGTAAAAAGTGAAGTTCTGAACGCAGAGAGTGAAGTATTGAGCGGGGAAACAAAACAACGGGCTGGGAGAGATTTTTAACCAACGCGAAATAATTTGAGCGGAGAAAGAACGGAACGAAGGGCACCAGGCAGGTGGCATTTAAAGGCGCTGGTGCAGGACCATTAGGGCTCAAACTACAAGTTTGCCATCTGAAGCTATGAGTATTTGATAGGCCTAGCGAGTTTCGTCTCATCAAGTGATGTCCAGAATCTCATAGAAACTAGGAAGTTGGAACTTTGTATGGACAATGGGGTATTGTTGCCTCAGCCTAGACGACTTGGACAGATCTTTGAGCGGTAACTATTGTGATCACATATGTACCGTGTTTGTCTCCCTTGTAGCAACCTCCATGGTATTGTTGTCAGTCAATGGAACTGACAATGATTTGTTGTTTGCCCCTGATTCAGGGGCAAACCAGACACATTTGCTGTACCCTAACCCTGGAGTGGAGCTTTATTGTAGCCATTGCTCGCTCAACTATCTTTGCAGTTGCGGTTTCGGCGTTGCGGGGTCATTGTGAATGAATTTCGTAGGCCATGGAAATTTAGGGTGTAATTCTAATCAAACAACGCATCGGCCCTTCACTGTGAGACATCAGTTGATACACCCTCTTACCCCCTCAACCAACCAACAACAACAACAACAGAAGCAGCTCAAATTACCCAAGGGTACTGCTTTTGGTGGCATTAAACCAAGTTTACAATGGGGAACACATCTGACTCCAACCATGCCTCTTCCTCTCTCATCCAGCATTTACGATCCGTGCTCCCCCAAGACGGATCCCGAGAGGCCCTCATCACCTCAGTCATCCCGAAGCTGCTCCAGAGTGTAGCTGGGGTAGCCCAGACACTGCGCAGTTCACACAACGTTTCTGCTGTGGGCACCGCCAACACCTTCGGCGATGATCGTGTGTCCACCCTCTCCCACCACCACAAGGCATCACTAGTAGAACTAACACCACTAGAACTCAACGTTGACGTGGCAGCCGAGAACGTCATCCGCGAGGCCATCGCCCAGTGCCCGTCCATCGTGACCGCCAGCAGCGAAGAAGATCCCATTGAGCGCGCCGTCCAGCACACCGTTCCCACCTCCATCTCATCCACCCAGGAACAATACACCCTCGCCTTCGACCCCCTTGATGGCAGCTCCATCATCTCAGCCAACTGGACAGTCGGCGCCATCTTCTCCCTCTGGGACGGCGCGACCGCCCTCAACCGAAACCCCACCACGCGCCAAGTAGCCGCCATCCTCGGCGTCTTCGGCCCACGAACAACCGCCATCGTCGCCCTACGCACCCCCAACACCAGCACCCCACCAACCTGCTTCGAACTCGCCCTCTCCCCCGCACCCCAATCCCAATCCAAACCCACTTCCCCCCCCACCTGGCACCTCACCCGCCCCACCCTCACCCTCTCCCCCACCTCCCACTACTTCTCCCCCGCCAACCTGCGCTCCGCAGCCACCTTCCCGGCCTACCTCTCCCTGATCACACAGTACATCACGCAGCGCTACACCCTCCGCTACGCGGGCGGGCTCGTGCCGGGACGTGGCGCACATGCTGGTGCGCGGCGAGGGGCTGTACGTCAGCCTCGTCACGGCGAGGGATGGGGCCAAGTTGCGGAGGTTGTATGAGTTGTGTCCGTTGGCGTTGGTGGTGGAGTGTGCGGGGGGGGAGGTGTTGGGATCCAGTGGGTTGGGGGGAAGGTGTTAGGGGAGGGTGGTGGGCGGGTGTGATGA